TTATTTTCTAAATTAACTGGATAATTATCCAGTTAATTCCTATGAGTTAGTATTCAGAACATTCTTGGAAAGTATTTCCATCAGTTTTTTGCAGTTGAACGTTTAGTGCCACTGTTTATAAAGCTGGCTGTGTATTTGTTAGTAGACTTCTAGGAGTGTCTTTTTTTTATTCTTGGCGAATGTTTCGTCACAGCAAAAATATTTTCATGAGTCAAATATCTCAGTTGAATTTATTAACATAATTAAAATTAAATATTTAACGTTATTATAGCCTAATTTTAAAAACACCGACATACTTTTTATAATTTTACAAACCAAAGTGTACAGCTTTAGAACTAATTTAAACAATATAAAATCGAAAATAATATTATTAAATAAAAAGTAATAGTAATAATAATATTATTATTATTAATAATTTTCATATTATTAATTAGAAGTTACAAGTTAGAAAGAAGGCCAACGATGAACTCGTTTATGTGTTAAACACGACGTCGGTAGTCAAGTAAGATTTTATTATTATTATTATTTTTATATTATTTTTTTTACTATCGTATTATTATTTATAATTATTTTTAAAAGATAATTTATTTATGACGTCATAGCAATTTGAAAGGAGCCGACAGTGAAGAAAAACTCGTCCTGCAAATCATTGAAGAAGCTGGAAACAAAGGTTGGCTGCTTGATTGATTGATTGGGTAGTTAGTTGATTGATTGTTTGATTAATTGGTTAGTTGATTGATTGGTTAGTTAGTTGATTGATTGATTGTTTGATTGGTTAGTTAGTTGATTGGTTGTCTGCTTGATTGATTGGTTAGTAAGTTGATTGACTGTTTGATTGATTGGTTAGTTGGTTGGTTGTCTGCTTGTTTGATTAATTAATCGGTTAACTGACTGACTTGTTTGTTTGTTTGGTTAATTGATTGGTTAACTGTTTTTGTTGCTGACTTTAATAATATGATTATTTTTATAAAAATAATAACAGTTTATTTATAATGTTTGCTAAAGGCATATGGAACAAGATCGTTCACGAAAAGAGCAAGATAACAATAAAACAACTCGACAAAATCCTGAAAAACCTTGAAGCCAAAAAACTCATCAAGAGAGTTTCATCAGTGGCTGTTAGTTTAGTAGTAATGTGTATAAAAATAATAAAACACGGGCAAATCAACGTGTTGCGCATGTGTGTTGTACAGGCGCTGCGTGTGATTGGCGGATATCCTCTTGCATTCAAACCCGCTCACTACAGCAGCGTTGCCAAACGCCTTAGCCGCTACACCATCATTCCTTTTGGATTTTCCTCATTAAAATTGTTATCTGTCTTTAATACTGTCTTTAATATTATTTTCAGGCTGCTCGTAAAAAGATCTACATGCTCTACGATCTCGTCCCTGATATATCTTTAACTGGTCAGTGCTGATGATGATGATGTTGTTGATGATGATAATAATGGTGATGATGGTGATGTTGTTGGTAATGATGATGGTGGTGATGTTGTTGATGATGATGATGGTGGTGATGTTGTTGATGATGGTGATGTTGATGATGGTGGTGGTAATAATGATGATGATGTTGTTGATGGTGATAATTCATTCATTCATTTTATTTTTATTGATTCATTCTTTGATTTATTCGTCTACTGGTTTGATTTTTTTTTTTATTTTTCATTCATCCGTCATTTCATCAGATTTTTCCTTCATTTATCCGTCATTCCATCATTCATTCATTCACCCTTTTATTCATTTAGCGTTCATTCATTCATCTACCATCCATCCATCCAGGGGGTTCGTGGTATAGCGAACAGAGGTTCGATTCAGAGTATGTTGATTTGATCAATGCATGCTGTTTGAGGATTCTACAGCAGAAGGTCATTTTGTGATGATGATGATGGTGATTTATCAATCAATCAGCCAATCAACATTTCATCAACCAATCAATCAATCAAACAATCAACATTTCATCAACCAACCAACCAATCAATCAATCAAACAATCAACATCTCATCAACCAATCAAACAATCAACATTTCATCAATCAATCAACCAATTAATCAACATTTCATCAATCAACCAATCAATCAATCAACAAACCAATCAATCAATCAACCAGGTTGAAAGTTGTGAAGCGTCAAAAAATTTGCTGGACCCCATGGCATATCACAATTCGACATTCATGTCCTCGAGTGAGATCCTAAAAGTCCTAACTGAATCAAACGTTAGCAAAGTTAGTAACGCATTTATTTTAACATTTTTCTGTTGTTATTGTCTGCACCTGTTTGCCACATTTTTGTTTTTTTTTTGGTTTCACGTATTGCTTGTAGGGATGGAGACTTACGAATGGTTACTTGATTGGTTGGTTGGTTGGTTGATTGGTTGGTTGGTTGATTGGTTGGTTGGTTGATTGGTTGGTTGGTTGATTGGTTGGTTGAATGATAAACAGAGATAACCACACAAATTACTCTCCCCTCCCAACCAGATCACTCTCTCCTTGAACGACATTGAAA